TATTTTAAAAAATGAAAAAATTATCAAAGTGGTAAAATCAAAGGCAGAGTCATAAACTGTGAGTGTACACTATTAATAAGCCATCTATAGTAGTTCTCCTATCTGACTATTTTGTTTCAAGACAGAAGCACTCCAAAGTTAAACTTACACCGGAAAAAGATCACTTGGATAGCTGTGCAGGCAATACAGTTGTACGGACCAAATGCAGTGCCAGGAGGTGCACTCTGTGCTGGCAAACCAGTCTTTTAGACTGGCTTTTACTGGGCTACCCCTGCTGTTATCCCAGCACAGGCATGTCACAACCTAACCATACGTCAGTTATGGATTTGCTCCAGCAGTGGACAGTGCCATTGGCCACTTAGTGGTGACAAATAAAAAGCAAACACAAGTTTAAATGACAAGTTTTACTTTCCTGCATGCTAGCCAGAGAAGAGAGGCAAAAGCAGTGTATTTAATGCAGTTTGACCCTGATCACTTCCAGGAGTCCATTTGTTGGTTCATGTTGGCCCACATCTTTCCTCTCTTCCAGAGCACTTGACAACAGGAGTGCCACCACCCTGGGATCTTTCCTGTGGCAGTACTGTTTGAGATAGTCCATTTACTGCTCAGTCTAGTATAATCCCTCCACTGTCTTTCTTCAGAACCTGAGTACTGCTGCCAAGGAAAAGGGGTATGTAAAAATGGAAAGCTGATGATGATCAATAAAGTAAGAGTTCCTGTAAACTGAAAAATAGGCAGAAACAGGGAAAACATCTGAACTAGGGAAGCATGCACTGCCAGAACAGAAAAAGTCAAAGAGTCTGGAATACAGCAATCCAGGGAACCCAGATGGGGTCTAGAGGAAGGTGTCCCTGCCCATGGCAGGGGAGTTGGAACTAGATGATCTTTAAGGTGCCTTCCAACTAAGCCATTTTGTGATTCCATGAAGAAAAGCAGTGCCAGCTACTGCAAAGCCCAAAGGAGGCACAGGGACCACTAGAAGCACAGAGAGGCAGCATTCTGCAGAAAAGGAGATCAATCCATCAGGCACAAAAAAGGAAGTGACAAAAAAAGTCTAATGAGTGGCCATGAGTGAAGTCTGAATGTGCACCTCTATTTATACATTTAGTCTAATTCCAGATAAATATAATTCTCTTTTTTTTACAGGATAGAAAATGAAGATCAGAAATATGGAGTCAATGCCAGAAATACAGACAAGGGAAGCACCACATATCTCTCAGTCTTGATTGCTAAGTAATAGCTATAGATTGGGCAAAGTGAGAAAGCAGTGAATCATTGTATCTTCAAGGTAAAGCAATTCTAAGACTCAATCTTATCACCTGGAAGTGAGGCAGAATCCCCTGGAAATATATCTTGTGAAACTTCTTATGAGGCTGTGAAATTGAATTGATCTAAGCATCTCCAGTTTTTCAATTACCAAAACGAACCAGACCGTGTACCAGGAAATGCACAAAAGGAGCACAGTAGAGGCAGAAGATATGTATAGTTATAGGCAGCTATACTTCTCTGCTTCAGCTTTTGGAATTAATTGCTGGCTGGTTTCTACATCTACAGGGGTTCAGCCAGGACTTCAACATGGCAAAAACATGTAACAGATCTCAGGTATTTCTGTCCACACTGAGAGTCTCCCAGACAGGCCTTCAGGTCCCAGGACTAACCTCAAACAGAACCAAAACCAAATAGTAAATAGTAAGAGTCTGACAATGAGACCTAAACTTTTCCTTCACAACTAAGTCCTCTTTTGTACTGGAATAAAAGGAGAGGAAACAAGTCTTTTTCTGCTTGTGGACCCTTTCATTCTTCACTAAGGAACTGGAAAAGATATAATTCTAAGGGCTAAGAGCTGTATTGTGTGAGAAAATTACAGCAAGGGAAGTTGGACAGCGTTATTAAGTTATGGCAAGATAGTTGTGAACAGGAAACCAATGGGTAAATTCACTATCTTATGTCACATACATAAGCCACTTGTGTTTTCTGTTATGTTTTGTCTCATTTCAATGAAGTTCCTTCCTCTTTTGGAAGAGTTTCTGTCTAGCTTTATTCAAATAGTTGTATCGTAAGCCCTGAGCTTATTGTAACTTCTCCTTGCCATTTCACTTTGTATCACAGGGTCACACAGAAAGGACAAAGTGTGTCATCACAGGACTGTGTGAGGTATCAGCATGTTTCTCACTTTGCCACTGTCACTTGCAAGCATGACATTACCAGCAAGCTGACATTAGGAGAGCCAAAAAAATGATAATTTCTTTCTGTTCCCCACAAAAGGTCTGATGCAGAACTCACTGGAATTGCTGGAAATATAAGGTGCTTTGGCTCAGACCCAAACAGACCAGATAGAAATAATGCTGAAATGGTATTTGGAACTGAGATGGTACAAAAGGACTAATCTGAGTCACCTTCCCCTAGCAGAAGACTCAGAGCAATTTGAACTGGCTACTTTCTGTTGTGAATTAAGCTCAAAGCCCCAAAGGCAACTCAATCTATCTTTTCAGCCTCCTCCAAACTCAATCCAGAGGGAAAAGTGACTAATCCTATTCAGTTGCTGCACTGAACTAGTGCCATCGATTAAAAAAGCTTGGGGCACAGGGAAAATTAATAATCTGGATCAGTTTTCCTCTGCAAGTCCTTTGCACAACTTAGCCAAGAAAATAAAACAAAAACAAAACTAAGGAAACAGGAAGAGGAAGCGCTGATAAGAAGGAAAGCTCACCCAATAAAGTGCACACACTTTACAGGAAAGAAATAGAAGCAGATCAGTGGCATTTTGTTAAAATTCCCAAGGTGGGATGAGATTGATTAGGGGAGGTAGTTCTTCCATTTGGTGGAAAAAGAATCATGTCTTACACTCTCTTCCCTTTTTCCCATGTCTGTGCAGAGCTGAGATGCCAAACATGGAAGAAGGGCAAGCTGCAAAAACATTTCTGGGCACAGAAGTTGTCTTCTTGGCTCCCTCTCTGTCCAGTGCTCTGGGTATGGCATGGCTAACACAGGAGAACAGCCCATTGCTGATCCTAGCCTGACCCAGGAGGTGAGTCATAAAATGGGAGTTGCCACTGTAACAGCTGCTCAAGCGCTGACATTAGTAGGTGCTTTCAGCAAAAGCATTTTTTGGGTAGGCTTCAAAGTAAATAACCGCTGCTGCTGGTTATCATATTATTGCTTTGAACAGGGTTACCAAGGATTGTGTGCTACAGAAAAGGTTAATCTACAGATAACCCCCCACCAAGATTATTAACATATAACAGCAAATGCCTGTGTGATTTTGTAGCAATATTTACATTTTCCTTGTCCCCTATTACAGAACTGCAGGGCTTTCATCAATAATATCAGTTTTCTCACTTGACTTCGCTGAAGGTTTCCTGTGACAACTAACCTTTTTCATCTGATTTTATCAAACTGATAAGATGAAAAAATGAAAAATATATTTTAAAAAATGAAAAATTTATCAAAGTGGTAAAATCAAAGGCAGAGTCATAAACAGAAAAAGGTTGGAGTTTTTGGGAGGTTTTGTTTGGTTTTTTGGGGCTTTTTTGGGGTTTTTTGTTTGGTGGTTGTTTTGTTGTTGTTGTTTAGTTTGGTTTTTTGTTTGGTTGGTTGTTTTGGGGTTTTTCTTGTGGTGAAAATTAAGATATTCTGTTTTTAAAGAGCTATTCCATATAAGCAGTGAAATTTGTTAAGCCTAGTCACTTTGCTCTGTGTCCTCACATCTTTTGCATTGGTCATCTGACACATAGCACCATACTGCCAGCCCCATCCTCCACAGCCCCTGGGTCAATTAGGAAAATGATGGCAGAGGGGCTCATCACAGTTTTCAGGAGCTGAATTCTGACCCTGTTTGGTCAACGAGGGGCATGAAGATCACCCACCTTTATCTAAATGCCAGTTTTCATTACATTTATTATGTTTCAGGGCCATGTGGAGATGCCACAGCTCTACAGCTCCTAGTAGGTAGGATGACCACAGCTTCCCAAGTGTCATTTCCATAGGTCAAACTGGACAGATTGTCTCTGCTAGCAAACTGTTTTTGGAAGAGAGTTCACTGAAGCCTAGTACATGGTACGACAGGTAATAAAGACTGAAGAGCATGGTTAGCAGGGAAAAAAGCCCCCAAATCAAAACCCACACACAAAGACCATTTAAGCGTGAGACTGCAGTGGAATTCCTTCTGTTGTCAGGGTGACACGCACAGTGTCACTGGGGTGTACATATCTAGCACACTCCACGTCTCAAACAGGAGACTAGGCAGCAAGTTTGGGGAGTGTAGGTAGATTAGGGACTGGCACCAGGGGAAATGAGGTGCTGCTGAGATGTGTGCAGAAAATGGGTGAGGAAGAGAAAGAGAGAGGGTAAGGAGAGAGAAGCAGATGCAGAAGTCTAAAGAAACAGAGGAGAGGGTGACAGAGGAAACGACTGTCCCTGCAAGGATGCCCACTCCAGAGGTACCTCTGGCTCAAAGATTACACGATATAAATGGTGAAAGGTCAGTGCCATGAGCAGACCCTTGTGTTGAGTCACAAAGTGTGAAGCTGCTGTCCCATGGAGGAAGGGCTCAGCACCCCCAGGCAGCCTGGCTGATAGCTGACCCCAAAAAAAGCCACAGGCACCCACTACCCGACCCCAGCCTGAAGGGCTTCATCCCCACTCAAGCATCCTCCCTAGCTAAGGGGCGGGCTCTTCCCGGGGGGCAGCTTCACCCCAGGGTCCCACGGGCGGGTGTGACCGCTGGTGTCCCAGGGGAGCCCGAAGGCAGCGCCTGGGCACGGCCGCGGGGAACGGGGAGGGCTTCCCCGCCGGACCCGCGCCCTTCGCCGGGGCCATGTTGGCAGCCCGGGAGCGGGCAGCGGCAGACGGGAAGCCCGGGCTCAGGAGGAGCCAGCCTCGGCTGCCCCCGCTCCCCCCGCGGCCGCTGCCAAGCGGAGATGCCCAGCCCGGGGATGTCCCCCCGGCCCCCGCCGCTCCTGCGGCTTCGGTTCCGTAATTGACCCCTCGGGACTCCCCAGGTGTCGTGTCGTAACAGCGCCCTGTGGAGCCAGCAGTCCTGTGTGCCTGCGGATCACCTCGAGGTCCTCCCGTGGGAGAAAGGGTGACATACAAACTCCGATCCATTACCGTGGTGGTGACAGTCCAGTGTATTTTCGGCCACCGAAGACACCAAGTAACTCGATAGGTGATCCCTCGATAGGCTGTGGAAACTGGCGGCAGCGAGCCAAATGTGCCCCGGGTCGGTGGGAATGCTGGTCCCCATTGTCCCTTCACGAGTGGGTCCGGCACCTCCAGGAAGAGCCGGGGCTGCCCGCCTGGGCCGGGGGCGGTGGGTCGCTCCGGCCAAATCACTTTCCTCCGTTGGGTGGACAGGGAGCGAGAGATGGACAGCAGAGGTTTCGGAGAAATGAGTAAATCGCCTCGCGATTACAACACGCTAGCGAATACAACACGCCTTTTTCCGCAGACGGGCTCCCCATCAGGGGACTGGGGGGAAAAAAATATCCCTAACACTTTTACCTTTGGGAAATTGAAAGGTCTGTGTGTGTATCTGTGTGCGTCTGTGTGTTAGCGCTGTCGCTGCCAAGCCCAGAATTTTGTTTTCTCTCCCAGCATGCGTTGATGACATCACGAAGTGCCCCTTCTTTGTGTGTCAGTGATGTCACCAAATGCAGTGTGGGGGACAATGGAATCCTGAACTCCGGGCGAGGGCGAGTGGGAAGCGGCTGCTCCTGCTGCTGGTTCAGGGCTGAGCCGGGGGAGGGAAGGGAGGACACAGCTGCTGCTTTAGGGCTGAAACAGGTGAGAGACGGGAAAGCTGACGGGGATTCCTTTTGCCTGGATTGGTGGGGGCGAGTGGGCTTTGGGCTAGGCTCCTTTTTTTCTTTTTTTTTTTCCCTTTCTTTTTTCCCCTTATTGCTTTCAAACTGAGACAGGTGAGAAGTTGCTGCTGCCGCCGGAGGGACAAAGCAGGTGAGGCAGGGGAGAAGCTTTGGGGTTGAAACAGTTCTGAGAATAGGAGGACAGCAAGCAGCCCCCGCGCCGAGCCTGATACCCCCTCCGAGCCTTAAAAAAAGCAGCCCCGGGAGCTGCCCCTCTCCCAGCCACCTGCTTCCACCGCGTCCCTGCGGGGCTCTCGCACGGAAGCAGCAGCGGAGCCGGGGAGGGCGCCTGTCCCTCTGCCCCCCGACACCCCTGCAGGTTACTTTTCAGAGGGTCTCCATTAAAAACTCACGTCCCCCTCCGTGTGCCCCTTTCTTCCCTCCCCGGGGGGAAGGGAAAGAGAGGGGGCCGTGACGGCGGGGATCCCCCTCCATCCCCGGAGCTGGGGCTCCGCCGCCCGCCCCCGCCGCCCCCCGCTCCGCACCGGGTGGCGCCCCGGCCCCGCCGCCCCCCAGCCCCGCTCGGCGGTGGGGGAGGCAGCCAGGGAAGCCATTGCCTGTTTAATAGTTGCTGTTGCAGCACTTCCGCTTCTCTCCCAGCGAGAGAGACACGAGTGGCCAGGCCCAGCCGCACCGAGGAGGAGCAGCCAGACACAAAGGGAGAGGTAGGGGGACGGGGCACCCCCCGCCGCCCTCCCCGGGGGCAGGGGCGAGGGGCAGGGCCGGCCGCGGCCCGGCGATGGGGCGGCAGCCGGCGGGGCAGGGGGGTCGCGCCCGGGGCTGTCAGGTACCGCTGTCCCCCGGCCCTGCGGGCCCGCGGCCGGGGCAGCTCGGCCGGGCCCCCTCCGGCTCTCGGCCGGCGGGGCAGGGGAGCTCCCCGGGGGCCCGTGGCCCTGGGAGGGAGGCGGCCGTGTGTCGCCTTCCCCCCCCACCCCGGGCCCGCGGCTGCACCCCGAGCCCTTCCCCCGAACTCTCCCGGGGTGCCCTGCCAGCCCCCCCCCATCCCTCCCGACGGCTTCTCGCCCCTCTCGAGTGCGGACCTGCCCTCGGTAGCCCGCCGTGCTCGCCCTCCTGCCCCGTGCCCCCGGGGTGCCCGCATGGAGCCGGGCTGCCTCCCGCTGGCCCCCGCTGCCCCCCTCCCTGACACCGGCCTCGCCGGGCCCTCCACTCCCGCCCCTCGTAGGCCCTGGCCCTGCTTCCCCCCGCGTCCCCCCCGGCACAGACCCTCTGCTCCCTTCCCCTCCGCTGGCATATGCCCCTCGGTGCGGTGGGCCTCGGTGGGTGCCACCAGTGCCCCCCACTCCCTGCTTAGCCCTTCCCCTCCTGCCTGCCTCCCCTCACGGCTTCCAGCGCCCGATCCCACAGACGGGGGTTATCCAGCAGGCAGGGCTTTCCCCACCACAGGTCACAAATCTGCCAGGGTCTTCCCTGTGTTGCCAGTGATGCCCCACTTCCATTTTAGAAGTGGCGACGGGCACCCCCCATGCCCCATCCCTTCCTGCCTCCCCCACGTGCCTCCCGGGAACCCAAGGGACCGGAGCTGTTCCATTTTTATCTCCTACACCCCTAGGCTCGATAGTGGTGGGTGGTGATGGCTCCTCTTGTGTGTGCAGTTTGGGGGAGATTAGAAAGAATTGCTTTGAGCTTCCCTGATCCTCGCAGTTGTCCTCGTTCCAGTCTCCTCTCATTCCGCACTTGCTGTCTGAGAGGAAGCTTTTAAAGTCCCTTTCCCCCTGCTCCTCGGTGTTACTAGTGCAGGCGAAGCTATTGCTCCTCCTGCTATGGCTGTAGGGCCTAGAGAGGAGAGGGAGACACGAGGATCCTTTAAAAGGAGCATGACCCAAACACAGATCGAGATTGTCAGCAGCCTTTCTCTGTGTGTGTTTGTGTTCACTGTTTGTTCCCCACGCCCCATGGTGTCTCCTCTCCAGGTTGGGGTGTGTGGTGGGGGGGTCGCTATGTCGGATGACGATTCGAGGGCCAGCACCAGCTCCTCCTCATCTTCATCCTCCAACCAACAGACTGAGAAAGAGACAAGCACGCCTAAGAAGAAGGAAAGCAAAGTCAGCATGAGTAAAAACTCTAAACTGCTATCTACCAGTGCCAAAAGGTGAGTCTGCAGTCAGTTTTCTCACTGATTTGTTGCATCTTCCCTTCTTCCTCATTTTATTTTGTGCTGTTCCCCTGCTGCTCCCATTCCTCATCTCTAGCTCTTATGCTCAACCTTTCTACGTGAAGCTGCTATTGTCTCACTTTTTTTCAGTGTCTCGCTGCAGTGAGTCTCTGCCCAACTTCACTGCTTTCTGGTCTCTCTTCCTGCTTATTCCAAATATTTTCCTGGCTTTTCTTCTTCTGGGCTGTTATTCTGACCCTCATTTATTTCTGCTGTCTTCTCCTTTTTCCTTACTAGTGTTTGTTATGGGAATGGTGTAGAATTGACATTTAGACCTTATATTTTTCTCTGCCACTGGAAGCTGTATGGTCCCAAGTAAGGCATTGCATTTCAACATCTGTTTCGCTCTCTTGTGGGTTGGAGTCCAGAGTGTCTTTTTGTCTTTCCAGAACTGATTTGGAGATTAATTAATGTTTGTGAAGTTTTGAGTTTGCTTGCTTTGGAGGAGTGCACTGCAGTGCGAGGGGTGTAATACAGCCCCAGATCTTTACCAACAAATACATGACTGTTATTTTTGTCTGCTCATCACTTAGAGTGAATTTTCTGTGTATGGTTGGATGCTAACTGAAATAAATAATCCACAGCAGGCCCACTTTTGGACATTCTGCTCTGAAATAGTCTTTGCTCACAGCACAGAGTGGGTTTGGGCTTTTTTTGAGAATAAAGTAATTTTTATTCCAGAATAATGTGTAGGGAGAGACACCTGCATGGAATAGAAATTCCAGAACAGCTATGTCAGTCAGTTTTCTTCACCTGGACAGACTCTTGGAGCTACTATTTTTTTTTTTTTTAAAGTTACCCTTTCTTATTTATTCTGTGTGTCACCTGAATTCAGCACCATCCTGCTCCAGGGAGCTAAGCTGACAAATGGAGGTTTTCAAGCAAACTTGCAGTACTTCAGTAAGAATAATGAACCATCTCACTGAACAGCTTTGCCAAGCAGCAGAGAGGTTGTATCAGTAGGTGTCTAAAGTGACTGGGGTTTTATGCAAATGCCCTGTCGTAGCAACTGAGTTCTCCGTGGCTTTGTAGAATTTAGGCGGTTTGGTTATTCCAGATCTCCACTCCGCAGGTTTCCATGGCAAACTGACAGAGATAGTGGCAAGCAGTGTTTACGTGTTGTGCCCTTCACTGTTCTAAAGGAGAAGATTTTAAACTGCCTCCTGTGGAAAGGCTGTGGTTCTTGTGTGTGACAAGTGGCAGGAGGTGCTGGCTGAGTTTAAAGGAGAAGGGAGGCAGGCTGAGTGCTGGGTGGGGAAATCTGGAAGGGAAGCCTGAGTGACAGTAATGGGACTCCAGGGAAGAGGATGATAGCTGGTTGGGCGTTTTGTGGCAAAAGCAGCGTAAGCCCAGAATAGTCTGGGCTGGGAGGACAGGGTGTTGGCTGAGCACAGTGGAGAGAGGGAGCGTCTGGAGCCCTAGGGAGGGGACATGGGGGTGTTGTGTGGCTCTTGAGGGTGAAGAGAAGGGAGAATTGAAGGTGGTAGGAAGTGCAGGAGCGTCGGAAATAGATATTCACCTTCCTTAAAGTGTCCTTGAGAATGGCGCAGTTATTGACTCCCTCAGGGCTGTGGATTTTTTTTCTCAGGATGGTGATGAGAAGCTGGGGGAGAGAGGAGGGAGCCAATTTGGCAACGACTGTTTCTCTCAATCCCGTAAGACAAAATTCCTTTTCAGACTGCAGTTTCCTCTTGGTGCATCACATTTGCAGAGGTTTCCCCTCATTTACAGGCTGGTTGGCAGAGCAAAAAGGACAGTCTTTTCCACTGTGCCATTGGCATCTTTGTGGGAGCACGGAGCAGTGCACCTGTCTGGGTTCAGTGCACGATGCCTGTGTGCTTTTCAGCCTGTTCTTTAACAGGGCAGGGCGCCTGTCCTGCTGAGGGGTTTGGGCTGGTGGGAGGCCAGAGCTGAGAGTGCCTCTCTTATGCACTGTGCAAGCTCACAGTGACAGTGTGTCTGCAAGGAGAATGTGTTAACTGCTGTCCCACTCAGTGACTTACCTTTGTTCCTTCTTGCTTTATTGCCACAGGATTCAGAAGGAATTGGCTGACATCACCTTAGATCCACCTCCCAACTGCAGGTTGGTGTCGGTTCCTTACCTGAGGAGGGTGGGGGAAGGTGATGGGCTGAAGTGTGCCCGTGTGTTGTAACTGCCCTCAGAGGCTCCAGATGGAGCAGAGGAACGGCTGTTTAGGTGGCCAGCAGTACTTTTGTGAACGCTTTAAATAGTTTCCAGATGGGGATACCTCCAGAGATTGTATGTGTTTTGACCAGTTTTCTGTTTGTTTTGGGGGTTGTTTTGTTTTTTTAACAATTGCATGTCAATATGTTATATTGTTTTGTGTGTGTACGTTTCAGAAACTGAATATATAAAGAAGAGTGTGAAAACTTTCTTCTTGTTTGTTTTTGGTTTTGGTTTATAAATCTAATGCCTGACTGCGCTAATCTTATATAAATAAGAGTCCTGCCAAGGAAGCAGAGAATGCTCTGAGGTTTTTAGCTAAGCGTTCTGTTGTGAACAGCAGCTGACAGTGGAAGTGAAGTGCGAATTCGTCACTCAGTGGATGCCCCACTGGAGCATGCATCTTAGCTGATGAAACAGAAAGCAGGGATACTCTGTTGTCTTTTATAAAGCAGCTTATTTTTAATTATGTTTTAGAAACTTGCATTGTTTTTTTAAAACCTCTGGCAGGTTGATTTGTTTCATTGCATGGTGTCACTGAACCTCTTTGCATTTGGGGAAGAGGCAGTAGTAGTGTAACATATTTGGTTATACTTGCTCATCCAAGAGGAAAGAGGCTTTTGGTCTGGTCTGTGTTTGCTCTAGCAACATAACTCTGTTCCCATCTTCTTGCTGTAGCTGAGGTTTGATGTCTTTTGATGTTGGTAATGACAGAAATCAGAGAAAATTATGTTTATAAATAACTGTTTAAATTGGTCTTTTTTGTATTGAGTTTCCACCCACAAATGTACGTGAACCTTTTTATTGAAGCTTTTTGCCACTGTTAGTCTGTGGGGAGGCATTAGCACAAGAGTTAGCCTGACAGGTCCAGAGCCACCTTTTCAGTACCAGTCCCTAGAATCATAATTAATTGAAGGAGAGATTGAATGTGATGTGTGACATCTAATTTGATACTAAGAAGATTTTTGTGCTGTTGGGATGATAACCGATAAGTTTTGAAATTGTTAGTTGTGACGATATTGTTTTAGGGACAGTAATGGCTTACCTGAATATTACAAAATTTCCAGTTCTTGGGCTGGAGATATGTCCTGTGTGCATCCCAGCTCTGTGTCAGGACGAAGTCTGCATGGTTTTTTCCCTCCTCCTCCCACTTTAAACTGATTTTCATGGGAAAGAAACACAGAAGCACATCTCAGGCACTGTTGCTTGCTCTCTAGAAAATTCAGTGTGGTGGTTTTAGTTTGAAACTAGGCAGAAACACTAATTTTTTGGATGGTCAAGGTGCTGAGACTTCAGACTGAGCTTTGCAAGTCTATCCAAAAGCTGTGATTGTATATGAGTACGTTAGATTACATGTTTCTTCTGAAGGTTTGTGTAAATGATATTAGAGCCCTAATTTGTCCTTGTTTCAATTGGATTCATTCACAGGTAAAGATGAACTGGCAAACTACTTGTCAAAATGCAGTATAGTTTTGGGTTTTCTTTTTAAATTACAAAAACAATTGAAGATAATGTGCTTCAAGGCCCACATAGTAAGTTTGTGTTATTTCACCCCTTACAAATATTTCTAATGGTAAAAATTAGTTTGTAGTACAAATAGTGATGATTAATCTTCATCCATAGTGGAGTTAAAAGTATTCTGCATTCCTTTTGACTTTCAGATGAGTGACAGTGAAGGTTGCCAGCTCCTGCAAGTAATGCATGAAACTGGTGTAGTTGTTACTGCCTTTTAATATGTTGATAGGTAGGAAAACGTGAGTGAAGGGGTTTGTTGTGCGTGTATGTGTGACCAAAGGAGTTTTGGTATTGCTCATCTTGGGGTGAAGTCATCCTACTTCTGTAAACACAGTGCTGAGAGCCAAGAAGAGCAGCTCTGCTTATGGCTAACAAGGTTCCAGTTGTGCAGTCAAGCACTGGGAGTTTGCCCCTGTAGTGGCTGGTTTGTAAAAAGGCAGGCAGGTGCCGATTGCCACAACAGTGAGATGAGTTTCAGCTATTGCAGTTGTGGGGAAAGTTCACCTCTTGTGAAAAGAAAAGAAAAAAAAAGAAATAGTCAATTTGTGACTGTGAGGAGATTAAGCAAATTAGGTACTCTGGCTGCTGCATGATGTTTAAGGTTGCCAGAATTTGTTCTTGGGAAGCCTGCTAACAGTGTCACGGCTTTTCTTTATATTTTTTTCCCTTTCATATGAACATTACTGGCATGCTGTGAAGGAGGTATTAAATACATAGATCGAGAATTTAGTTTCAGTTTCCTGCCTTTATGACTTTGCTTATTCTAACCTTTTCTCTGACCTCCTGCCCCTCATATCTCTTGCTGCCTTTGTTCCTCTACAGACTTTTTTCAGGTGTCACTAGAGGAGAAGCCAGTCCTCTCCTTTTAGGCATCTCGCTATTTCCTGCAAATTTAGTCTTAGAACTTACATATTAAAAGCATTATGTATGATGCCATGTACTACCTGTTGTACTGTCAGTTTTAGGGGTTGCCAAAGCCTCATGTCACACTCGAAAATGTTTGTCTGAAACTGTATCCTGTGTCATGTTGGAAACATCTTAATCTTTTTTTCTTTTTCTGGACATCTGTTCTTACACCCCCCACCACCATGTTTGTATTTTCCCCTGTTCTGTGTCTGGTGTTTGATATAAGTTCATGGTTGGCTGTGCTTTAATTTTTGGCCTCACTGCAAAATACTCTTTTGCAGAGGAGAAAGAGGAAAGATGATGTTCTTCTTTCAGTCTTATTGCAGTAATGGGAGTTCAGGATATTAAACGCATCCCAGAGCAGTTCTGCATATTGAAAGATAAAGGTTCAGGTTGTGAATGATTTTTAGTAAGAATTGTTTTACCATAACTTACGTGAGGTATTTTTCTTCTTATAAAATATGACATACAAGATGCAATTACAAATAATGACAAACCATTTGACATTTCAAACAAAATAGCTTAAAAATAAACATTTCATTTTTATTTTTGCAGCTTTCAATGTCTGTGTTTTCATGTATGGAACCCACAGATCATCTGTTTAAAAAACAAAAACCAAAAACCCAAACCCCAAGCACACTCAACACCCTGTGATTGAGCAGCTGTGTGGTTTTTGCACATATGTGGGTAATATGAGGGGAAGCTTATTCCAGAACTTCCTCTCTTCTCAGCACTTTCCTTGCTTCTTCCATAGCTTGCCTGTGTCCCCCAGAAGTTTACCTGGGCTTGTGTGTCATTGGCTGGTTCATTTCTCCTACTCCCCGTGCGCTTGTCTCCTTCCTCAGGCTGTGATTTTGATTTTCACAGGCTAGTGCAGTTAGTTGTGCAGAGGTGCAGAATATGTGCATGGAAGCAGTCTCTGTATGGCCTGCATTCAAAACATAGATTTTTGGACTTGAAAACATTTTCTAAAAAGGTATATTTAATACATGTTGCAAATTCGTGGGTTCCTGCTGGGAGCAGTGCTTTGTCCTCATAAGTGTAAGTGTCCTGGTGTAATGTGGCAGCTACTTCTGAATGGATTTTAGTCCTCTTCATTATTTTCAGTAGGCCAGTGCTCTGGAGGTCTTTAATTTCTGCAAGATGATTTGACTCCCGATATTAATACTGAGTTATGAAAGTTAAATATTACTTTCAAGTTCAGAAGGTGTTTAGTGGTTAATATGAATTGGAGAATGACTGTTTGGACCTAAAATGTTTAACATCTTTTGAGAGAGTATCTGGTGAACTCTTCTCCTACTTTGTTTTATATCAGAGAGTTTAACTCCTGTTTTGGAGCTCAAGGAAGGTAACTAGAAACTTCTTACTTTTTGTCTTTTGTACCTAGAAATTTCTTACTTTTTGTCTTTTGTATATGTTGGTGACAGAGGAGGTGTCATGCCTTTGCTTTGGGTCTGCACATGTCAAAATACATTTCTATCTTGTTATGTAGGCAGTCCTGATTTTTGTTTGCTGGTAACACTTAGGAGTGTTGTGCAAAAGCTTTCCTTCTGTCTCAGTGATGAAGTGTCCAAAGCTTTAAGAGAAGTTAATTTGCGCTTTAAGTACTCTTTATTCACTTTGTGGAATTTATTCAACCTCTGTATCTAAGCATCTCCCGATGGTAGATCTGCTTATTGATGTGAGGTTATGGAGCAAGTGGTTTTCCCTATTTTTAGGGGTGGGAAGTTACAGCACACAAAAAACAAGTGACTTGTCTCAGGTTGTGCAGGAAGGTTATGGCAGAGTGGAGAAATGAATGTAAATCTCTTTTGTTTCAAGCTAACTTGCAGCTGAGCTGTTTGGCTGGAACTATGTGCTCAGTTGCATTATGAGCAGGGCTTTGCGTTTGTGCTTTATTGGGTGTCTTGTATTGACTGTATGTAAGCATGGTAATTTAATGTTATTTTTCCCATCTGTGTAGAGGGACCAAAATGGATATTAACTAGAATTAATGTTTTTTAATCTATCTTAGCCGAAGTGAAACAAGTTTGTCTCCACATGGCTCATTTAAGTCCATATAGGCGAGACCAGCTGTTATTTAAACAAAAATAATTTTCAAACCTTTGTTGAAAGAGGCATTTGCCTGCAGGGCTTTCCATTGCTTCAGAGGAAAATGCTATCACAAATTCATTATTTAAATAATAATAAAATACAGTTGTGTTTTTTGGCACCTTCAGCCCAGTTTTTGTAAATTTGCAGAATAAGGACCAGATCTCCTTGAGAGTCTCATGAAAGTTAGCTGTCAGCACTTAATAAATATGTGTCTCAGTAAAGATGGTGGGGAGAAGTGCTCTCCATTACAATGTATGGAATATTAATAGTTTTCAAAACTTTGGAGTGTGGAATTAAGATTTCTTGGCTTGAGAGAAGTCTGCATAAAATGTGTGGCTCAAAGGCAGTTTTGAACTCAACAGCTTCATATTATAATTAATATA